CTGTTGATTTGGATTTGGAAATTGTACAGTCGCTACAACATGGTCACGGCGGGTGGACAGATGGCATGTTTGAATGCCTCAACAATCCAGGCATAGTGGTGGGAATCGATGAGGACATGATATTGTGGTTGCTTATAATTCGGGCAATCGTTGGACTTTCAATCCGGCGGTATTGACTAAAGTATCATCGCCAACAACTGCACCACCAGAATTTCAAGTCGGTGATATTGTTAAGATATGCTCCGATGTGGAGAGTATTAAAATGCTGCAACGCGGACATGGTGAATGGGCAGATGCAATGCAATTGGTGAGTTTTTTTTTAAGCTTGGCTTAAATTCAATGTAATCAGGCAGGTTCTGCAATTCACTCTCCGAGTGAATTTAAACCCCTGCCATTTTGATTTCGAAGCGTATTTCTTACAAATTCACCTCGCTGAATATTTTTTATGTTAAAACTTTACTCTGATATGGATAAGTGGATAAACTCGTGATTGCGATATCGATAAAAATATACATTCAATGAATATAAATTTATCGATAATAAAATAAAAAAATGAGACTAATACGGTGAAACATATTGATAAATGAAGCAATGATGATCTCGATAAGTATATCGCTGAACATATTCCTTGATGCAATAATTATAACAATAAATTCTTGATAAAAGTATATAAAAATATTTGAGGTCCTTCGATATCGATAAAAAACGATTAACATACATATCTAGCGATAATAACTGATCGATAATGCTTCTGCTGCCAATAAATATATCGATAATACATACATATGCCGATGAACAGGATTCATAAAAGTATCCAAAACGTCCGATCTCAATAAGGTTCGTTTTTGAAACATTTGCTGAGATAGCGCGATCTTGAATCAAATTCTGACATAGGGCGTTCTTGAATAAATTTCTGAAATAGGGCGTTTTCCAATTTGCCAGATCGGACGTTTTCGCGTTCCCTCGACAGCGGTACGTCCGGAACAAGTACACTCAAGGCCTCACTCCAGCGTTGATTCTGTAAGATCCACAAAAAGATATGTATATTCCCGATTTGATTTTTGTGTTGTGCTTTTTTAAGAGGCGTTGCGTTATGTATGCATGTATGACTAAATGTACTTTTATTCTCAAACATACATAAAACGGCCACCTGTTGATTTTTTCACCTTCCTTATAGTGGTAACTTTTTATCTATTTTTATAGACTCTTGGCAAGTTGGGTCGCGTACAGCAAGTTTATCACGACAACGATTTGAAGGTCGAGGTAGGTAACACCTCTCTGGACTTATAATCCGCTGGCAGTCACTAAAGTGGTAAGTATAGTATGGAATTACGATAGCCTTTTCCACAAAAAAAAAATTAACTCATAACTTCGTATATTTTCCAGGCTTCTGCCTCTGCTGATGGCAGCTGCGTGCCGGTCATTTCAAGTGGGGAGCGTTTGTCTGCTATTTTAAAGAAACTTTTTGAACCAAATGTATCGGGTGATGCTACCGAGGAGTTCGTCAAAGCAGCAGCTAATGGCTATGCTGTGAGTTTATTTTTCGTTCCTATAAATATTTTTTAATCTAAATATATTTTCCTTTCATCAGGCCCGCTGCGAAGAGTATCTTTCAGGCGCTGTACAGCCAGCTACTTCAGCCGCTGCTGGTGGTGGCACAGCTACCGCCGGTGGTGTTGCTACCGGTGCGCCAGTTACCGTACCGGATGTAAATGGCGTATTCGCCGGCCACACTGCTCTGCAGGCAGCCAGTCAAAATGGACACACCGATGTCATACAAGTGTTGTTACGTCACAATGTAGATGTCGAAATCGAAGATAAAGATGGTGATCGTGCTGTGCACCATGCTGCTTTTGGTGATGAACCTGCCGTTATTGAAATACTCTCTAAGGCAGGCGCTGATTTAAATGCTCGTAATAAGCGGCGGCAGACGGCACTTCACATCGCCGTCAATAAAGGCCACTTAAATGTGGTGAAAACCTTACTGTCGCTGGGTTGTCATCCCAGCTTGCAGGACTCGGAGGGCGACACGCCACTGCATGATGCTATTTCGAAAGAGCATGATGAGATGCTTTCCCTGTTGCTGGACTATGGAGCCGACATTACGCTGACCAACAACAATGGCTTCAATGCTCTGCATCATGCTGCGCTCAAGGGCAATCCGAGCGCGATGAAAATACTACTTACCAAAACCAATCGTCCTTGGATTGTGGAGGAGAAAAAGGATGATGGCTATACCGCCTTGCATTTGGCGGCGCTGAATAATCACGTCGAAATTGCTGAGCTGCTCGTACACATGGGCAAGGCCAACATGGATCGGCAGAATGTGAATCTTCAGACGGCTCTCCACTTGGCAGTTGAACGTCAGCATGTGCAAATTGTTAAGCTGCTCGTGCAGGAAGGCGCTAATTTAAACATTCCCGACAAGGATGGCGATACGCCATTGCATGAAGCATTGCGCCACCACACGCTCTCGCAGCTGAAGCAGTTGCAGGATGTGGAAGGCTTTGGCAAACTTTTAATGGGATTGCGTAATCCGAACAATAAAAAGGCTTCAGCTTCTATTGCTTGCTTCCTAGCGGCAAATGGTGCTGATTTGACATTGAAAAATCGCAAGCTACAAACACCACTTGACTTGTGTCCCGATCCGAACCTATGCAAAACTCTCGTAAAGTGTTACAATGAACGGAAGACCGATGACTCGGAATTGCCAGGCAATGTAGCCGGCACTAGCTTGAACGCACGTGCACGCGCGCTCGCTACACCAGTTGGTGCGGGTGCCGGTGTAGGCGTAAACAGTGGTGGGGCTTTAAATACCTTGCCAGTGGTCGCTGGTGCTGGTGGTAGTGTAGGTGTAGCTACCATTTCCGGTGGTATGCATCACTCGACATCGACTAATCTACCACTAAGTACAGTGATGAAGGGTGGAAGTGGGCCCGCTGGGATGGCTGGCGTTGGTGGAGATGTGCGCAATAGTAATGCAAGTGGTGGCGGAGGCGCCGGAGGCGGTTTGAATAGCCTGACTAAAGACCTATCGCAATCGCTGCATGTTGCCAATGATGCTGTGAAACACTCTACCTTGGAGGAGTGCCTTGTATGCTCGGATGCCAAGCGCGATACGGTATTTAAGGTAATGATATAATGCTTAAACTTAAATATATGAAACTTAATTCTTGAAATCTCTACTTTTTACATACAGCCATGCGGTCACGTTTGCTGCTGTGACACTTGTGCACCACGCGTCAAGAAGTGTCTTATTTGCCGGGAAACAGTCTCATCGCGCGAGAAAATCGACGAGTGTTTGGTTTGCTCGGATCGACGTGCTTCCATATTCTTCCGCCCTTGTGGTCATATGGTGGCTTGCGAAAATTGCTCTGGACTAATGAAAAAGTGTGTGCTGTGTCGCACACAAATTGAAGAAATTTTGCCGTTTTCTTTGTGCTGCGGTGGCGCTGGAATTGCTGAAAAGGTAAAATTTGCAATTCAGTTATTTTTTTTTTTTGCATAAAAAAAATCGCGCAACTGCTTTTTCTTTCCTGCAGGTTCATGGCGTTGGCCACTGCTTTACCGACGATAAGTCTAAGGAAGTGCATTGTGTCAATACTTCTGGACATGGTGTAGCTATGAATAATACTATGCCTGGAGCTATGAGTACACCCATAGCTAGCGCAAATCAGTTGAATAGCCAGAATAATATTTTGGCTAACAATGCTGCAGCGGCTGCAACAGCTGCTTCCAGCGTTTTATTAGCACCATCCAATGTGAATAACTTTCAAATGGACGACGTGCAGAAACTTAAGCAGCAGTTACAAGATATTAAGGAGCAGGTGAGTTTTGTCTTGAGAGGGTTTTTACTTTAGCATGCACTAACACTTACAAAAATTCGAAACTCATAATTAATATCTCTATTCTCAGACAATGTGCCCCGTTTGTTTTGATCGCATCAAGAATATGGTATTCCTTTGTGGTCATGGTACTTGCCAAATGTGTGGCGATCAAATTGATGGCTGTCCGATCTGTCGCAAAACTGTGGAGAAACGTATTCTGTTGTTTTAAAAACCAAGCGCCACAGCTATTATCAAATATGTATATCAACATTGCAATCACCATTCGAAATTACTATCCATATCTACTTAGCGACTATTACTGTAACCCTAGCGCTTTTATTATCAACAATTATCTCAAATGCAACTGTATATTTCAAACTTGTGTACTATCGCCGACTAATAATATATAAAATTTATAATCCTTGTGAAATTCACTCAAAATTAGCTTATATTCCATATTCATTCAACACATGCATGCATCCATATATTCACTGCATTCCCTATTAGTCGTAAATAATTATTTTATACAGCAAAAAAATGCTTGAAGCACAGCACACTGGCAGAAGTATACATATTCCAGTAATTCGCAATTTTTGTGTATCTTTTGCTTGCTAAACACTTATCTATTTAGTTGCTCTCATTTATTAAAATTTGAAAAATATTCGTATGCCTTAAATGTATCTACATGCATGCAAAATGTTTGTTGTATTAATTAAATCATTCCTTTATTTTGAGTTTTTAGTATCTAAGCACAGATTTCAAATTGCAATGAATTGAGTTTTTCATAAACGATAAAATTTTAATTGATTATTTGATATATACATACATTTTTACTGACGTAGTTAATAAATAGAGTGCAAAGTATAATTTAAAAAATTGTCATTATTGCCCAATCCACAAGATGGGGGATCCGACAAAGTGCCTAATACCGCGGGATCAGCCTCCTGAACATCGACTATAATACAGATGCCTAAAACGACGTTGAGCAACAGCATCATCACCGACGGAGTTGGGAAAGACTTTTCCAAGCATTTGGTACCAGAACTTTGACAGCCGTGCTTGATCTAACTTTAGATTTTCGGAATGCATAATTTTAGGCGGCCTGTTTCGCTATGGTGTCACCTGATACTGAACAATATTTACCCGTTTACTTTGAATTATTTGTTTTAAAAGTATTATAAAAGATAGGATGTTGAAAGATTTAAGACCGAGCTTCTTTGGAAATACATATGCGAACCTCCATATCGTAGAATGTCAAAACTGATGGGGAAAAGCTGCTGAAGTAATGGTTTTTAGCCCTAAATAAATCTGAATCGTTCCGGAAACATATATGCGACTGTAACGAGCGCACCAATTGCCAAAATGAAATTTATTTTAAACAAAATACGGCGTTAAATCACTATTGCATATTAAATAAAAACAAGTCTTCTACATTACCATAGTAAATACATATATATTTTGTCTTAATTTATTACATACATATAACTGAAATACACAATATGTACATGCTTAACTCAATCGTTTAATGGAGGGACAGTTTTTTTAACTGAAAGCAAACACTTAAAGCGAAACAAATACTTTTTTATGTCCAACTTATTTTCTTTTACATGCGTAATGCAACTTCTTCTGGATTTATAAAAATATTTTAACTTCATTATCAAATGCATCATATCAATTTGTCGATTGCAACTTCAAACAAACTTCTAAGCTAATATTCAAATCTGGTTTATATTTATTTATAAGTCGCAACAAATTCAACTTCCTGTGTTTTGAGTTATTTGATTCCAATTCATAAAGCGTAGATAAGTTTACTAATAAACTTTCGTTGAGTGAATTTTGTGGATTTAAATTAATGGCATGTTCGAATAGTTTTATAGCATCCTTTAATTTTCCCTCGTAGAGCAAACAGACGCCCATGTTGTTAAGTATCATTGTATTGCCGGATTCTAAATGCAATGCTTTCTGAAAAATGGCATATGCGCCACGAAAGTCATTTTCGGCCACAGTTATTAGACCTTTATCCACCAAGTCACGCAGGTCAGGCGTGGAATTGCTGTAAATGTACCAAAGAATTTATGTAATTTTTTTACTTTTTCAGTATGAAAAATTTCACACACATTTCACGCATCCGACGTGCTTCTGCAAATTTCTGCTCTGCACCAAAAATGTCACCAATCTGTAAATAAATGCGTCCCCAAGCAGAATACAGTGCACGCCGTTCTTCCTTGCTCAAATCAGCGCTTTCCAGTATCATGCCGCGTATAATGTCATCAATCAAATTGAACTTCTTCATCTATTTAATAAAGGACGAGTTAATATAATTTACATATCAATTAAACGTTTACTCACTATTAACGCACAATTGACTATGGAATGTAGTACGCGTATTTCACGTCGCCACCAAAATTGCTCTGCATCTTTCGGTTCACGTCCAGCGAAATACTTTTTAATTTCATTACTTATCACATAAAGCTCTGACAGTCGATCTAAGCCTAAATGTGGGTTTCCCATATAAATGGGCAATTCAGCAAGTAGTAAGCGAAAGGAGAAGCAAGCAATTGAGCCTGTTTTTCCATTATACATTTCTGGATAGAACTAGTAAAACAGGAAATTAAGTAGTAATAAAATTTCAATTAAGGTCAAAGAATATGTACTACCTCATAGTACACATCTGGTCGATTAAGTTGATCGAATGGTTCTGCTTCTGCCTGCAGCAGCTCAAATTCACCCAATTTCGCCAAAAGCGCTAGACGTGTGAACCACAATTGCAGTGAGTGCGGCGAATGTTTGGCCGGTTGGCCGGCACGACCATACCCCTGGCCATAGATAGTCAATAAACGTCCAGTGAGATTGACTGCCGAGCGATAGCAACCAGCGCTGATCAATGTACGCAAACCACGTTCATCTTGTGTGACATTGTCCACACCTAGAATTTTGCGTTGTGCCAATTCGGCTTCACCTAAATGCTTATGTACAGCCTCGCCAATAAGATCAGACTATTCGGGGAAGAAAGTTAAAAATGGAAATTTGTACCAAAATAAAAACCCCGCGTTAAATGCTTACCAAATCAGTTGGTGTTTGTATGCCCGGTGTGGTGAGCAATGGAGGGCGTGTACCAACAGAGTCGCTAGATGCAGGCTCCCAGAAATTACGCACATAGTCGGGTACTTTAAGATCATCTTCACCGTCTGCAGGATTTTCTATATATTCGGGTGCTTTAAAGGCACCACTAAAGGTATTTGCAGTTAGATTACTGGGTGCCGGCTGAGGGGGTTTCTGATTTGAGCGTGGTGTTGGCACGGGTGCTGAGTTGGGGACGGTGGGCAGAGAAGGATCTATTTGTTTTGAATATTTAAAAAATTGTTTATAAAATAAAATTTTCACACTTTACCATTTCCCTTGCTGGTAGATTTGTTTGCTAGTTCATCGAAAAAGCTGGGCGGATCATCAGCAAAGTATTGACTTAAACTTGGATTTCCCCTTGACGATCCCTTTGAATCCATTTCTTCAAAAGTTTAATTAAATCCCAAAATGTATATAATTTATACAAAATAAACAATACTCCAGTAAAAATTGCGTTCTTCTATTTGCCATGAAAACAAATTTTTCAGCTGATAATCAGCTGACACAAATGTATCTTCTTTTTGCGCTGCTATTCACGATAAGAAACACAATCGCAGGACTTAATTAGGACCGGAGGATTGCTGCATGGATTTCTTCAGCTTATTATTTTAATACGACCGCACTTCTTTGCTGTTTTTATAATTTTACAACGATAGATTTGCTTTTTGACTTCCTATTAATTAAAAAAATAACCTAATAAAAACTAAAAATTTTGAATTGCAGTTGTTGTTACACCTTAATGAGCCTTGGGCAAATAAACAGCTGTTCGACCATTTGGATTGTAAATTCTAATAAATTTTTGATTTGGGGCTTTTATATCAGTTTAGTTATTAGAAATATGAAGATTTAATTTCGTTTTTAGCTAAGTGGAACATGTCAAA